GTCAGCCCCTTGAGTGCTGGGATTACAGGCTTGCACCACCATGGCTGGCAGCAGGTAATAAAAAAAAAAAATTATGAATTTCACTTAATCTTGACAGAAAAAAAATTTTTTATCTAAGTGATCCAAAATATTTTGTTTTGGTAAGCTGGGCATGGTGGTACATGCCCATAAGACAAGAGGATTGTTTAAGGCCAGTCTGAACCACATAGTGAAACCGGGTCTCAAAAAGACAAAAAGTAGTTTTTTTGTGTTGAGACAAGGTCGGTAGTTTCAAGCAATAAACAGGTGCAAACTGTTTGCTGTATGACTGGAAAAAGTATTCTCAAGATAATAAAAAATTTACCACACAGATGCCAGGGCAGACCTGAACTCTTAGGTCCTAGCTTTAGTCAGCCAATGAGAACGCTGCTCCTAAGACAGCATTTTTCCCAGGCAGTACTTGCCTTGGCCGTAAGGGAAGGGGTGTAGGCGTTAGAAAGCCCTTGGCAGACCACAGGATTTTTCAACTCTTGAAAAATCTTACCCAGGAGTGGCAGCACATGCCTATAATCCTACCACTTGGGGAAGCTGAGGCAGAAGTATCACAAATTTGAGCCTAACATGAACAACTTCTCAAAATTAAAGAGGAAGGCCCTAAATTTCATTGCAAAGGCCATGAGGTTTTGCTTTTGTTTTTGTCTTTTTGAGACAGGGTCTCTCTCTGGCGTTGGGCTCACTTTGTATCCCACACTGGTCTTGAACTTGCAACAATCTCCTGTCTAAGCCTTCCAAGTGCTGGGATTACAGGAGTGCAACACCACACCCTGCTTATGAGTTCAATCTAGCATCACACAGAAAAAGAAAAAATAATTTTAGTGTTGAGACATTGCTTAAGAAAGCCATATAGGAAAATACCTTTCAAATAAAGTCTCTTTAAAAAAAAAAAAAAAAAAACTAAAACTTTCAAAAGACTTCACTAACACACTAGGCCACTACTTAAGTTACCTTCCGGCAGGTGCTCAGCACAGACGAAAGCTGTGCACAGCAGCACTACGCTGCCATAGCCCAACCTTGACCTTCACTGAGCTCTCAGCCCTGGCCCCCAAGGATGGTGTGGAAGTGAGAGTAGAAACTGCTTCAAGACTTCTCTGGTCTGAAAGCAGGAGCACTATAAACACTGCTTTCACAGAGTGCCTTTCCTTTCCACAGGATAACCTTCCATTATTTTATGTTCTGCCCCAATCTAAAAATCTAATCTATGGCCAGGGATTTAGCTCAGTGACCTGAGCACCTGCCTGGCAAGCGCAAGATACCCCCCCCAAGGTACCCCCCCAGTACCCCCCCCAATGTAATCTATGCCCCACCTGTAACTATGAAGACAAAATTGTAATGAAAACAAATGGGAAAAAGAGCTGAAATGCAATGGAAGAATCCCTAGCCAGTCAAATAAATGTAAATACATGAGCCTAAGTTTCCCCTTTCAAAATTACTCAAATATTTCTAAGTAAGCTTCTTTTGGGTACTTTGTTTTGGGGGACAAGACCGGGACAACACATTAAATCAATCATTATACACTCATAAACTTTAGTTCGCCATTCTTTGTGGCTGCAGGAGCACTTCCCTTGAAAGCAGTTAAGAGAGTCTGGTGTGGTGGCACACGCCTGTAACTCAAAGCTCCAGACACTGAGTCAGGAGGACTGCTATGAGTTCAAGACCACAGGGCTAAATTGTGAGTTCAAGGCCAGCCTGAACTACAAGACCCTGTCTCAAAAAAATCAAAGTGAGGGGAAAGGTGAAAAGGAGACACACACACACACACACACACACAGAGAGAGAGAGAGAGAGAGATGAGAAGGAACAGAGGGAGAGGGAGAAGTACTTAACTAAGTAAGGCCCAAAGGTGGACAGAATTCTGTTCTCTTGGAGGTGAGATGGGAGGAGCTGCATGGAAGGCTACAATGGAGACTTAGCAGGACCAGACAAGGGTAAGTATATAGCAAGGCTCTGCCCAATCCAAGAAACAAAAAGCCAAGGTACCCTGTGTCACAGCTGTGTGAAAAGGGAGAGTGACCATGGTGGGGGGGCCTCCAGGAAATGGAGGTTAGGCCTAGATACTCACTTGAGATGGTATAATAAAGTTGATATTTGTACTTCTACCACACACATAAAACACTACTTGGTCCAAAGATAAACCACGAAGAAAATTTTAAATATGGTAGGGAAAAATGAGAGTTGAAAAGCAGAACAAAACATTTAAGTACATAGCCCAGTCTGACTCCTAAGAGATACATGACTAAGACTCATCGAACAAACAAAAAGTCCCTTAAAAGTAGAAACATCTATAGGAATTAATGAAGTAGTCATTAAAGTGGATTGTTTCCTAAGCCTAAAAAGGTTTCCTATGCCAATTATCCAACTGCCTGAGTTCCTGGAACAGAGAACTGACACACTCTTTCAGAGAGCTTGAAGACAAAACTGAGAAGGTTGAATTGCAGAGAAATTCCATTTGAAATACAAATTAAAGAGAACACATACTGAAAACATCTCAAGACAATAACTTCTACTTATTTGAACTCCCTCGATTTTTGTATAAAGTTTATCAAAGGAGCCACACTCAATCCCCACAGAGCACTAACTAAACAGCAGTAATAAACTGACACAGCATGCGATCAGACGAGCAATGCATCATCATTTTCACCTATTAACTAGCAAACATCTTGCTATTAAGAGAAGCTCATCCATTAAACTTACCATTTGTGAGGTGAAGGGACTTTTAAACAGGGTAATGAACAGATCAAAACACTTATTTTGGCAACAAATGTAGATTATTCTCTGAACCAGCATTTACTGATGCTCTCTAATTATGTTATTTAATTGATGATGGGCTCATTGCCAACAAACTAAATAACTTTTGGTAATTAATGAAAACATTACTGTAGTATTTCAAATCCATGTGAGTATCCAAAGTACACGGCTTCCTGAAAAATATCCTCGTATACAAACAGCACTGTTCCTTTAACTATATTTGCAGAGTTCTTGTCACAGTATCAATACTTTAATTATAGCTAACATGACCGCCACCAGTCACAGCAGCCCATCTGGTCTGGTGAGATGAAAGGCTGGCTGGTGCGGTGTGATTAACAGGGCCAGTCTAGAGTGCTGCAAACCAGGAATTCAAGGCGGGGTGACATCTCTACAGAACTTCTGGTAATTCTGTTATGCATATCTTGCCATAGTAAAAATGATAATAAAAATAAAAGAAAAAAGAAAGCTTCTGAAAGTTTCTCGTCAAACTTAGCAGTATCTTTCAAATTTAGCAGTATCTTTCAGGGAGGTTTTCAAGGAACTCAAGAGGCACGCACAAAGAGGAAAAATGTCATAGCAACTTGGCCTTTGTTCCCTCCCATCCCATTCCATTCGGAATGGCCAGCCTATCAGAAGAGACCCTGCTTTCCAGCGTGAAACTACAGAAAGAACAACAGCTGAATGGAGGGTGGGGGAGAAAACCGCTATATGAGGATCAACTCAAGAGTCACATCAACGTTAAGCGAGGTATTTTTCCTTTGGTTTTAAATACATCTGCAAGGCAGTATCAGTGTACTTGTATTGTACAATCTTTCTCAATAGCACAAACAGAACTCCAGTTCTTTTGGACAGCCAATCCTCAGGAAGACAAACAAGGTTCCCGAAGCATCCAGTGACCGGCTTAGGGTCCTGGATGCGGGACTGTCCAAGTTATGCCATTGACTGGGTCTGCACAACCAAAAATAGTAACTGTTTCCACGGCACTTTTTCCACAAGTAATATCATATTACATGTTTTGACGAGTAAGTCTCCTCATCCCCGCAAAGAGAACCAAAAGATTCTAAGTTTTGCAATCAACAATTGTTTACTTTTATTCAGCTAAAAAGGAGTGTTAAGAATACTGCTCAAATAACCGCAAAAAAACTCTCAACAAACAAGACCGAAATCTGGTTTCTTTACCAAGACGATCTGTAAAACCACCCTGTTTTTCAAAGTGGATGTAAAAACTCACAACCTGCAGAAACCACGAAACACAGCATGCTACATGTTGGAAAAAAACAGCTTTTCAAAGCACAGGACTCTCCTCAAACCACTTAATCTTCCAAGCTTCTTCCAAACCCCTGGAAGGTGGTATCCAAAATTAGCTTTCAAAAACACAACATGAGCAAAAAGCCCCAACCGGGCACCAGGTCACCAAGAAGAGCAGGCCTCAAGAAAGACCATCTCCTTCCAAAACACCACCTACACAGGACCGACTGACTGCACGATCTTCCTTGAGGGGGACTGAATGCATGTGGCAGGGCCAACCCTGCAGAAACACACTGCTGCCGCCCCGCCAGGGGATGATGAAACGAGGAGCGGAAATTAACATTTCAAGCAACGTCTCACATTGTTCCTGGAGGCCAAGGGCTGCTGTTGCAGCACCAGCAGCAGCAGCAGCAGCAGCAGCAGCAGCAGCCGCCGCCGCGCCACCGCCGCCTTCCTCCCACTCGGCCCAGGCCCGCCCCCGGCCCCCCTGCGCCCCGCATTCCTGCCCCCGCGCGCCCGGCCCCCGCGCCCCACTGCCCGGCCCGCGCCCGCCCCCTCCGGCTGGGCTCGAAGCCCGGGGCCGCCTGCTCCCATTTCAAAACACGATAATAATAGGGACGCCGGGAACAACAACGACGGCCGGCAGGGCGGCGGCGCCCCTCCCGCAGGTCAGAGGTCGGCGCCCGCCCCGCCCGGAGCCCCCCGGCCCTAGGTGCGACTCCAAGCCCCCCGCTGCCCACTGCCTCGCACCGCGGGCCCTCGCGTCGGCGCCGGCCCGGGGCCCCAGGCATTCCCCGCCGCCTCTCCATCTCCGGTCCCGGCCCCAGCCCCAACCCCCCTCGCCCGCACGGCCCAGGCCCGCCCGGCACGGCGCACAGTCCGCCCGCGAGAGGCCTGCAGGCCGCGAACCGCCGCCGCCGTCACCGCCCGCCCCGCCCGCCCCCCTGCCCGCAACCTCGCCCTCTCACCAGCTCGGCGGCGGCTCGGCGGCGAGCGGGCGCTTCCCATGCAGCCCGCGGCCGCGTTTCCCGGGCCGCGCGGCCCGGCGGGAAGGCGGCGGCAGGCCCGGCTCGGGCTGCGGCGAGAGCGGCCGGCGGGGAGCGAGCCCGCCCACGGCGCGCCCAGGCTGGCGCGGGGCCGCGGCGCTCGCGCGGGCGCTACTGCGGGGGCGTCGGGCCGCGGGCTCGGCGGCGCCTCCCCGGCTGGGGCCCTCGGTCCATCGCGCTCCGTCGCGGGCGGCCTCTGGCTCCAGGACCCAGCGGCGGCTGCGGCGGGCGCGGGCCGCATGAGACGCTCCCGCCCATTGGCCCGCCGTGTCCGTCCCCGTCATTGGCCCTCCCCGCCGGGCGGCAGGCTGTGTACGTCACGGCGGCGGGGCGGAAGTGCGCTGTTAAGATGAAAGGCATACGGCGCTGACTGCTTCCGCGATAGGCCCGAGGCGGGAGGAGAAGGACGCGCGGTTGGGAAGGGGTAGTGGACAACCAGATTGGTTGCTGAGTCGCGCGGTGGGTGGGTCTTGTGTTGTTGGCCGCGACGATTGGCCATATCTCGTGCCGGAAGCGGGAGGCACGGTCTGGAAGCGCAGCTGGTGGAGAAGGAGCTGGAAGGCTAGGCGCTCAGATCCGCTGGGGCCTCGGGAAGCCGCGGCAGTCACACGCCTGGCTCCAGTGAAAAGCTCGTGGGCGGCTCCTAGGAGATGAGCACCTGTACCTGACCTGTCACTCCCGAGTCCGGTGGCCTTGGGGCCCTCCCCGCCGCCGAATGTCCTTGTAGGCCAGAGCAGGCATCACCAAGAGGCGTCTCGCCTACCCGGTATTGAGAAGCCCTTGGCCTCCGAAAGCCTTGTGCCCGCGAGGGATGCTCGTTGCTTGTGAAACGTAAAGCGGCAAGGCGAGAAGGAGGCCGCTGGAGAAGTGCAGCGTCTTGTACTTCACGAGTTTGCAAAACATGGGAAAGTTGCATTTTATTTCGTGTAGCAGGGATTTAGTTTACCCTAAAAAGCAATCCAGCCTCCAGTGAGTCGGGTTCTAGTTAAATGCATCGGTGTACTTGTCCAGGAGAACTAACCCAGAAAAGGTAGGTGGCCAAAATCAATATTTTTGAGACGTTTTTAAATTCTGTATTTTCCTGGACTCTGAGAAACTCGATAAGCAAGATATTTACAAAGTTCAAATTAAGAAATCATGGATGGCAAATTTCAGAGTGGTTGTGATCTTAAAGATGATCTTTCCTCCTGCGGCTTTTGTGGGATTAAGAGGCCATTCTTCGGTCAAGCCGCCTCCACCCCACCTTTGATTCTGGGCGCTTTAGTTGTCGAATGAGCTTCACCTATTTTGCAGGGTCACCGAGATGAGGTGAACCTGGTGTGAAACAGGGCCCGGCACAATTCGCTGTGGAAGTGTTAGTTGTACTATAAGTGGAATTTAAGGTTCCTCAGGTTCCTCGTTGCAGCCAAGTTTTGTTCTTCCCTCCCAGAACCAGTAACTTCAGATAAGAGTTGCCCGCGGATAGAGAATTCATGAAAAGTTGATCCAGAGATTTCCTTTCTTACCTGGTCTAACTGGTAAAATTCAGAATCCAAGACTCACACCCTCACCTGTTGACCCAGATGGGAGAGGACTAGGAACTGCTTTTGGGTTTTTGTTTTTCTTGAGCTGGATTTTTACTCTGGTGCTTGACTGTACCCCAGCCATGGCAAAATTTGAAAAATACTGACCTAAACCTATCAATCTCTGGGGAATTTTAAATAGGAAATATGAACAAGCAGGTGATTTCCCTTGTAAACTGAAAACAGACTAAGATAACAGCAAACTGGGCCAAGGATATAGCTCAGCAGCAAAGCACCTGTCTGGCAAGTGTAAGGTAATGAGTTCAATTCCCAGTACCAAAAAAAAAAAGAAAGATAACAGCAATCTGAAGTTCCACAGAAGCAGGACATATGAATAGAAACAGCGTGGTAGAGAAAATACAAGATAACAGGAATTAAGTCATTTTCATGCAGGTAGAAGTGTACATGGATATGGTTACCAACTGTAACAGGGCCCCTCAATTGGCCATTGGTCATTCTATATTAGCTAGTGTCCCAGTCAGGAAGAACCTAGGAAGAGGAGGGGGAGGGGCTATGCTATGTCGTGAACTCCCATGGATACATCTGATTAAAGTGTCTACATTCTGTTTTCCAGGCTGTCCCATGGGAATAATGTTGAAAATTTTTAGACATTAAATAAAGATAATTATTCTTTTATATATGTGCATAAATTGGGATAGGGGCCATGACATAAAACTTATTTTATCCCTAAGTTTTAAATGATCAAATCTTTACATCTTTGCCAACTTGCTTGTCTAGAGTAACCAGAACACCCCTGTGCATTTAATGGAATCACAGCTTTTAAAGATTGTTTGTAATAGCTCAAATACATAGGCCAGTACAGAACTAATAATATTAAAATTTTGTCAGTGTTTTAAAACCAAAAAATAAAACTCCAGCAGAAAACAAATTGAGCTACTGCGAGCAAGATGAGAGCTAACTGGGTATGATGTGGGAAATATTTGCAGTTTGTACTGTCCCCCAAGTGCCTCATGGCCACTGTAGCTGTCAGGCACTTGAAATGTGGGCATCTCAAGTTGACATATGCTGTAGGAGCAGTGCACACACTGGACTTCAAAGATTTGGTGCAAAAAAGAACATAAAATATTGCACAAGTAAATATTTTAGACATATTACATGTTTTTAAACATGTTGAAATGACAATATTTTAAATATATTACTTTGAACAAAAATAAATTTCTCATGGTTCTTTTGACTTGCAGCTGTCGGGGCATGGTATTTGAAACATGGTCTTGACTGGCCAGTGATCCTTTTGCCTCAGCCTCCCAAGGGCTGGGATTATAGGCATGCACACCACACCCAGCTAGTTGAGAAGTCCTAAAGTACACTATGGCTCCCATCTATTCTGCTGCATACTCCAGGCAGAGAGACCCAGAATGCTGTGCTTAGTGGGAAGAGGCATGGCAGTTTGGGAAGTGTTCTTTTAACCAACAAGAGTCTGAAGGGCAGTGATGTGAGCTGACCTGTTCTGTGTTAAAAAGGATGTGAGGGGAGAAGGTAGACTCTGCCCGGCTGGCTTTGCAGCACTCCAAGGAAGAGGCACAGCAAATATGAAGGCCCTCAGGCACAGAAGGAGGGGCCAGCAAAATTAGGGAGAAGATTCTATGACAAGGACAAGTGTAGTTGGGATTTCACCCTAAGAGAGAAAACCAGGAGGAGGCTGGGAGCAGAGGAGTGACAATCTGATTTGTGTATCAAAAGAGTGGCTCTGATCCATCTATAAGGCCAGTACTCAGAGTCTGAGGCAGGATGATCACCATGAATATGAGGCCAACCTGGGCTACATAGGGAGTTCAAGGCCAGCTTGGACTACAAAGGGAGACCCTGTCTAAAAAAAAAACGCGCTCTGGATGTGAGCAGAGAAGGCAGGATGGGGGGGATGGCAGGTCAAGGGCAGTAGGCAAAGTTCTTTGGGCTTCAAGAGAAAGAGCAAGGTTCTGGATGAAATTGGTTTTGCCTGGAATGAGACCTGGACGAAGACAGGTCTCAAAACAAGTGGTTTTTGTCCTGCAAGTCTGAGCTGCTTGGACCTCCCCTGCAGATCATAGATCAATACTAGCACCTGGACAGACAGTGACACTGTGGTAATTTGGATGGGAAACAGCCCCCCATCCCAGGCCTTGTGCACTCAGCAGGGTTTTGAAGCAGACTGAGTGGTGGGGTGAAACTGCTGACTGTGGAGAGGCCCTCCTCCTTCACCCCCTGGAAGCACCTGTCTCTATCAGGCACAGCTGGGCCTCCCAGCCTCCATGAGGTAAGCAGCTCTCCCCTGCCAGACCCCTCTCCAAGTGGTGGTCTGCCTAGAAGCCAGCTGACTGTGGACTACAACTGTGGACCTAGGAAAACTTCTCCTTTAAACTGTGGGTGTCGGGGCTGGGGATTTAGCTCAGCGGCATAAGCGCCTGCCTTGTAAAGCAGGCAGTCGTGAGTTCGATCCCCGGTACCGATAAAAAGGTAAAAGACAAAAAAAGAAAAAAACTGTGGGTGTCAGGTATTTGATCCAGTGAAGAAAAGGCAGCTAAGATTAAAAAGTCCAGGAGCCAGTCAGGCAAGGAGCCTGGAGGTTATTCTTGGTCTGGAACAGTTTGTGCCAGCAAAGGTTCCATTGGGACAGGTGGGACCATGCATCACCATGGAACCACGCAAATGGGACAGGTCTGGAGGAGGCCAACGTGGGCAGCCACTGCTGTGCTTGTAGGGTGAAGAGGAAAAGCAGACCCGGAAGATCAGTGCTGGAGGGTATGGGCGCCTACTGAGCAGCAGAAGCAGGGCCCTTTCACCATGGCTTCCAGGAGCCAGCATGGCCATCTCATGCCAGTTTTCCCATAGAAATAAACTGCATAAATAAAAATAAAAAATAAATAAATTTTAAAAAATAAACTACAGGGGCTGGGGATTTAGCTCAGTGACATAAGCACCTGCCTTGCAAGCAGGCAGTCGTGAGTTCGATCCCCAGTACCGATAAAAAGAAAGACAATAAATAAATAAACTACATAGATGTGGGTTTATTTGATCTGTTTGAGACAAGCTCTTGCTCTGTAGTTGAGAATGGCCTTGAACTCACTATGTAGCCCAGGCTGGTCTTGAACTCACAGTGATCCTCCTGTCTAGCCCCACCAAGTGCTGGGATTACAGGTGTGCACCAGCATGTCCAACTCATTACGGATTCTTTTATTAAAGAGACTCAGTTTTTGTTTTTGTTTGGTACCAGGGATCGAACTCACAGACTCATGCTTGCCAGGCAGGTGCTTATGCCACTGAGCTAAATCCCTGGCCCTCTAAAGGCAATCGGTTTTAAAACACTATGAGCCTAGCCAGCAACAGTGGTAGACATCTGCAGATCCTCGTGCTTGAGAGGCTGAGGCACAAAAATCTGAGTCCAGTCTAGGCAATACAGTGAGACCCAGCCCAGAAAAAAACATTGCAAGCAAACGAAATATGTTAGCCCACACAGTCTTCCTCAGCATGACTGTGGTCCCCAGTGCTGTGAGGCATAGTTTTT